ATCAGATGGGTAAGGGCTTGGGGTTCAACAGATGAAACAATATTTCAAAAAAAAAAAAAATCCTCCTTAAAGATGAAGAGAAGAATATTCAAGAAAACACAGATATTCCCTTCTTCTATGCATTCCCCTTTCTGCCTTCAATGGAGGAACCCCTTCTTCTCTGCGCACAAGACAGAGGAAGAAGATTCTTCTCTTTTTATGCATCAAATACAAACAAGTGGAAGAGAAGGGTTGTGGTTCTATGTCATCTACAGCACGCCTCGGCATCTGGGAAAGCAAGGGCAAAATAGAAATTTTGCCTCTGTATCCTATCGGCTGGGTTTGTAACCCAAGGGGAGGTGGGGTACATTTAACCGGTGTGGAGGGGTTAAAATGCACTATAACAATCGGGTCAAGATTCAACTCGGAATTTATATCTCGGCTCAATTTTAGTTTCTCAAACAAAGGATATGTGGGATCCACATCATCGTTAATCTATCCTTATGAGTGTTAACTCACCTTATCCCACTATCCAAACATATCCAGGTGTGTTTAGATTAGTATTAAGATGCATCAGATTGGACAACCCTATCTATTCTTTAATCATTCAACCGGAGAAAAAAGAAAATTTTAAAATTTTTGCCTCCTTATCCCATGTTTGATTCAGGTATTAAGAAGTAGTGAGTTTCATATTTATCTCATCAAATATTTTGTTTGGATAGACTATTAAATGATGGTATAAATATTAAATTATTAAAAAAAAACCCTTACGATGTTTATATCCTAGAGATTCTTGAGGATAAAAATATTTTTTTGTCAAAACACACCCCCAATTAGATTAATTAAAACCACCTACTATAAGGTGTATTATGCTATAAATCACTATTCATTCGGGTCTTGGATTATTTATAGGTGTCAATATCGAACTTAAAATGTGTATCCAAACATGGGTGTAAGTAAAATAAGGTGGGCCTAGACATTTTTTTTTCAAGGGTTTTTTGGGTGTGAATACATTTTTTTAGACTTATTTAAGAAAAAATGTATGATAAGTTTTTCACTCTATTAAGTTCACTTTTACTAATACATTTTGTTATTAGGTACTAAAATAAGATGACCATTTATTTATATTACTTGCTTACCGAAATAAGGTCAGCATTCTTAAACGACTTTATACTGATACTCCAAAAGAAATACACCAAAGAGATTTTGACTAATTGATAATTTTTTTTTAAATATGTAAAAATTTGACATAATCGGACATCAACGTTACATCTTTGGTGTGTTTTTTTGATTCACCCATTTTGGCGTATTTTATTGGTGTAATAGTGTGGTGATACTGAATGATGTAACTCTTTAGTTTATATAAACAATTGAATGATGCATTGGTGTATCTCCTGGTCTAAAGGATCCATGCTTATTTGACTATAGGTTGAGAAAGTGTTCGTGAAGCTAAGTAATTGATGATCGGACGTCGCATCCACAATCAGATCGATACGAGGGAAGGGAACACAATCTTTGGGGCTTGCCCTGTTCAAGTTAGTAAAATCGATATAAAGGCACCGCTTTCCATTTGTATTTTTTGACTAGTACTACATTTGTCGGCCAGGCCGGTTAATCGACCTCTTTGATATCTTTTGCTTTGAGAAGCTTGGCGATCTCCTCGCTAATTATTTTCTAGGGGAAAAATTCTTCTCTTTACCTTCGAGTCGATCCTCTGCATGTCCTCTTGCTTCCAAGCAAAGACATCCAAGCTGTTCATAAGGAAAACGGTGAGCCTACTCTTAATATCGCTTAGCAACCTGGATCCTACAAAGACCACATGCCCAGGATCATCGTTGGTCTAAACTGGTTCCACTCCGATGATGACGGTCTCATGTCCACCTCGTCTCTCATTTCTAGGTTGTCTGCCTAGACTGCATCACCTTCCTTCTATTTCATTAAGGTTAAATAACATTCCCTGTCCATTCTATGGTCTCCCCTGAACACTCAAACTCCATTTTCAAATAGGAATTTCATTACCAAGTGATAAATAGAGGGAATGGCCTTGAGAGTGTTTAGGGAAGGTCTTTCCAGGGAGACATTGTAAATTGATGGAGTTTTAACTATGAGAAATCAATTTTTAATCCAAAGGGTATCAATGGTGACTTTATGAAGGTACAACAATTTGAAATATATATTTTAGTCCAAGAGATATCAATGATGACTTTATGAAAAATATTGACTATTTGTAATGATGTTTTTTAATCAAAAGGTGTTAATGGTAACTTTATAAAAAGATGTAACTATTTGAATTGATATCTTTAATCAAAAATCACCAATTTTGAATTAGTAATATTTCATGTCATATTTACTTCACATCTTTTTCATTGATCCCAAAGTTTCAAAAACTTTAACAATCTTTTCAATTGCTCCTAAAAGTCACAAAGACTTTAACAACTTTTTCAATTGCTTCCAAAAGTCAGAAAGACTTTAATAATTTCTCATTTACTGTTTAATGGTTTTTCAATAAATATATCATTATTTACAACATGTACCCCCATGTCTCTTAAGTCTAATTGGGGCGACCTAACCTAAGTAGAGACCCTATGTGAAAATGTTATGTGAGGCCCTATTAATATTTATTTAATAATAATATTAGTATTAAATAGTTATCAAAATATTAAAATATGTTTATTTAAAAATCATTTGTTTGGCCTTGTGAGATACAACATACTAGTTAAAATTTAAAATTTAAATTTTGCAAATAAAAATTACATTAACCGAAGTCAAATCCAGAGATCAAATGTAATGATATATGCAATTTGTTTAAGATAAAGAAAAATATAATTAAAAATTAGTTTAACTAATAAAATAATTTTTCTCTGAATAAATATAAAAAGAGAACTTTATATAAGTTGAGTGGTCTTAAAATAAATGAGACATTGTTATATATTATAGAGAAACTGTGCTATGTTTAAATAAGAAAATTTAGTAAAGATCAACTATAGTTAATTAATTTCAGATAGTGCACTATTTCTATTAACTCTATTTTATTTTTTTGTTACAGAGTGTTTAAGCTGGCATCGACTTCTCCGTCGAGAATGAGATTATGCCAATGTCGTTTCAATTATTTATGTGTTATCGTGATTTGAGTTAAATTAGAGCATGTTCTTAAAGGGACAAGAGTGGCTAACCCTTAGGGGATATAAAAAGGAATTGAATTTAAGACATTTGGGTTACTCGTTCTATTTTATAGTCATTTTGTGTATTGTAAACAAATTAATCAAAAAATGGAATCAAATTTAACTTATAGAAATGTAAAATTATTATTCGTACCTATTATATAATAAACAATTGATTTTAACATTAAACTGCAAAATGATAATACATATAATATAAACATCAGATGAGATAAAAAAAAAATTAAGTTGAACTCTAGGACCCTAAATTTTTTTAAAAGAGGTTATAAAAATTTTACAATAATGTTATTTGTACTTAATTTTGGGACCAAATACATTGGATAAATAGTGTATTTTGTTTAAAGCTAGCACTCTCTACTAATGCAATGGTTAAAATTAAGTATTTAAATTATGTCCCAAATTTAATTTATATGCCATTGTATAAAATTTTATTTTGGGGCCCTAGGCAATGGCCTTAGTGGCCTACACACTAAGTCTAATTTTTTATTGGGGAAATTAGGAGGTACACCAAATTAGATTTACTTGTAAAAAAGTATATAAATTTTTTTTTGGATAATTAAGTCATTAATTTTAATACTTATTTGTTTCTAAGTATATTATTAGAATTTTACTGATTTTTTTGTGACATTTTTGCCCTTCATTAATCTATGTGTATTTAATGCACCACTTTTCTTTGGAAAGTGGTGAACGTATATGTATATAAATTATATTTTAATACACATTGATTCATGTGTTATATATATAACTGTTTTAATATACACTGTTATTGTTACACAATTATATTATTCGGATATTAAATTAATTTGAAAAAAAAATCATTTTCCCAAAAAAAAAAAACGATTGAATCAATGTGCATTAAATATAATTTGAAAAAAAATCATTTTCCAAAAAAAAAAAACTGCATGAATTAGTATATATATACTTACTTATATGCATATGTATATATATACTTGTTTATACGTATTAACAAATACGCATAAATTAAAATTTATTAAATACGTATTTATATATATTAACAAACACACATGAACAAGGTGCATTAAAAATAAGAGGTTTTGAATTAAATGATCCTAAAATGGGCATTGATATCTTTGTAATTCACATTTTGTTCTGTGTACTTTTTATCAAATAAGTCTAATTAGGTGTACTGACTTCCAAAGAACCTTTTTTTATTTTACATAAGAGTCCCATTTAGTTTTGAGGAAACAAAATCATCCCCAAAATTTTTACAAATTTTCACTAGGGGGCAAGTCTGAACAAAATTATAAAATTTTTAAAATTTATTACAACCCCAAAACTTCTAAAACAGAAAGTTCTAAATCCGCCGGTGCCCCTACTATTATTTTATTTTTATTATTTTTATTTTGGGAAAAAAAGAGGGAGAAGGGGACTTGAACTCTTGATCTTAAAAAGGCAAAACTTCCACAAGTTAAGGAGTATCATTTTGATCTCTGAATTGACTATAAGTCTCATTAAACATTAAAACTTAGTGTTGATCCAATAATTTCAATAAATCATATTATTAAGTGAGCAAACTAAATCAATTTTTCATGTCTAAATAACAATATTTATTTTTTATTGAGTAATGTTATTTAAATTTAAAAATTTGACTTGATTGACTTCATTAGAACTATTGAATTAACACTACATTTCAATGTTTAATGAAATTTACGGTCAATCCAAAGATTATAATGAATTAAATCAACAAATTAAGTTAAAAAATTATGTCCCAATATCATTCATTTGTCCGAATGCATCGATGGAACAAATCCCAATACAATAGAAGATAATATTCCCTCTATTGTTGAGAAAGTAAGACATTCACGAGTAGCTTGAAGACGAATGAGTGCTGCTTTCCCCAACTTTCCAATCACATGCCAAAGATACTATTTGAATGTAATTACTATCTAAAAAATTGTCATAATTTATTACTAATGATTCTCAATGAATAATTTCAACAATTATGATTATAATAATTTTATTAGATTATGTCACCGTCACATCATTAAATTAACAAATTAAATCAATTTTTTAAATTCTAATAATATTACTCTTACTATTTTCACTTAATAAAGTGACTTTATATTGATGATTTAATAATCTAAGAAATTCAAATTAAGTCCCAAAATTATATCACTAAATTACGGTCCAATAACATTCCCCTCGGCTCATATATTATAGTTCCTCTTTTCTCATCTTCTCTATAAGCTCCAAAGCAACATGAAGATCAGCAACCTCATAGCAGGACTACTGTGTCTATTCCTCTCCTTTTCTTGTTTAGCTTCCAACCGGCTTACTCAGACAGTAACCAACACCACCGTGCTTGATATTGACGGCCATGAGCTCCAAGCAGACACAAACTACTACATACACCCCACCACCAGCGGCAATGGAGGCGGCCTCGCACTCGCGTCCCGAGACCGGACATGCCCTTTCTACGTCATGCAGGAAAACCTGGAACCATCTAATGGCCTCCCGCTGCGATTCTTGACAATGGAAAACAAACAGCAGTTCATTAGCTTGTCAACGGATCTGAACATTGTATTCTATGCAGCTACGATCTGCGTACAATCCACGGCTTGGAGACTTGGAGGAATCGACGAGGTAACCGGAAGGAGGTACGTTATGAGTGGCGCTGTCACCGGCCATCCGGGAATTGATACTGTTCGTAACTGGTTCAAATTAGAAAAATATGGGGGTGGGAATGGTTATATGATTGTTTTCTGTCCTAATGTTTGTAGTTTCTGCAAGGTTGTGTGTGGGAATGTAGGTGTGTTTTCTGAGAATGGGAAGAGATGGCTTGCTCTGAGTGATCAACCACTTATAGTTGGGTTCAAGAAAACTTGATTTAGACTGGTTTGGGAGATAAAAGGACAGATTTTTGTAATTAAGAAGCAAGGTACTTTACTCTGTTAAAACATTGCACTTTTGATATTCAAATTCTTGATGTTTTGTCCACATCAATAGTGTTTGACAGAAATATTTACTTGAATTATTTGTCATGCAT